AATTTAGTTTTAACAGGTTGGAATTATAATTTTATTGATAGCCGGACTTGCTTTAGAACGGGCCCATAGTTTTTCTGACTGTACACGACGCAAACATAATGATACATGATTTTAAATAAAATTGAGTCAGTTTTAATACCGACCCGTATTTAATATAGTACAATCTATTTTTAATCTTTATGCTCTGTTTGATATGTTAGAAAAATAGAAGGATTAAAAGTTGGAAGGATAGAAAGTTGGAGGAATAAATAAAACATCATATTTGAAAAGGAAGAAAAATAAGAAGGATGAAAAAGTGGATGAATTAACTTTCCTTTCAACTCACTAAAATCAATCCCTCCAAAATTGGAAGGAAAGTGGATGGAAAGTTAATTATTTGTGTATATATTATATTTCTATTAATTTCATATAAAAATACAATGATAAAATATGTATATATATATATATATATATATTTTTTTTTTTTTTAAAAAAAAAAAATTAAAAAAAAAATAAAAATATAAAAAAGTTTAATTAATTAAAAAAATATTTTCTTCACCTTAACTAGGGATGCAAATTTCGACTCAACATGATGACACGATTCGAACTTAACACGAATTTTATGACACGAACTTAATTATAATTCGATACGAACTTAAAAATAACCTGACACGAGAATAAAAAATATAAAAAACTCAAAATTTTATAACTCAACACGAATCTGACATAACATGACTCGATGACAACCCTAATTTTAGCCATCACAAAAAAAACATTAAAAAAAAAAATTAGTTATTTTTATTTTCCATCCACCCAACCAAACATAAATGAAAGAAAGTGTATCATTTATACTTTCTATCATTGAAGGATCGAAAGTGTATCCCTCATACTTTCCATCATTCATACTTTTTATCATTCTTACCAAACGGAGCATAGAGTTGACAAAATATGAGTTTAAATATACCATAATCTTATATTTGGTCAAACGATTGATAAATGAAAAAAAAGTAATAATCGTGTCGCGTTGATCATTAGTTAATCTTAACTCAACCCGTTTAAGTAATCATGTCGAGTCAAGTCAACTTATTTAATTTTGTGTCGGGTTCGTATTGACCCAGATAACTGGTGAATAAAAAATTTAATGCTTAGATTTAAGTTTAAAATTTAATTGTCACTTAATTGAACCTATGCTCATCATTTTTCTATAAACTATAAATTGAATTAATAAATATAATAACAAAAATGAATTAAAATATGTTTTTTTTTTGTATAATAATTATGTCTTGATAAAATATAATAAAAATTAACATTTTATTCTTATAATACTAATTAAAGATGTTAATTGTGTCAATTTCATATTATTCGTGTTTAATACTAATCCGATTTATTTATTATTCGTATTAACAAGTCGACAACATTTATGAGTTTATGTAGAAAAATTATCAACCCTGATCCACTAATTTCGAGTCGTGGTTTCGCATCGTATCAAAAATTTCTATTCCTAAAGCAAATTCATAATTCATTAGAACATATTCGCAATTCACTCCCTACCAACACCCTTTTTAACGGGTCCAACTGCCCCCGAATCAAACCTATGGCATATTCTTTGAATGAAGGGCTCGTACTTACTATCAATCATCTTCATGCTAGCTCTTAGGAACAATTAAATTCATTGGGGAAAAAAGGCAAACAGGTTATGGGCAATACCTGAAGCATCAGAGAAGAGAATAATAACAAAGGCTCAAGGTAAAATTCTCACTTTCAATTAAATTAGTAAAAAGCAGCATTCCACTTGAGAGAAGTTGCATGGAGTTCGTCCTCCCAATTTGGTACTCCCCAATCATGCTTCCCAGCAAATAATTCTCTTTAACATAAAGTGGGAGTGGTTTGTTAGTGGGCATTTCCTTTTGCTAGCCATTGGACTTCCTTTTGGAAAGCCTATCCTTACCCCACTCACTCTCAAAAGGGTACAACTTTAAAACCTTTCATGTTCTTTCAAAGTTGAAGCCTTTTTGGGCAATTACAAATTGAAAACAAACAGATGGTTTGATCAATGTTATGTATCTTCATACTGAGAAGGTAGAAATTGTTGTGTGTGTGTGTGTGTGTGTGTGTTATATGTTGTGTTAGAAACAATAGAAATTTATTCCGTCAGCTTTTACACATGGATTTTATATGTCACAGTAGGGGTGTCATAGTCAAAATATGACAGACCCATTAACACGATTACGAAATTAGAGAGAATGAATTTTCTTTAAGCCATTCGTTTAGTAAACGAGTGGACCTAACACAATACGATTAATAAATGAATTGAATATGAGTGAAGTGAATCAGGAGAAAATACACGGTTCATATACAATACAAACTCTATATGACATGAATTAATAAAAGAATCGGTATGAGTCAAATATTTTTTGACATGAATCCACTAAGACTTGACACGAACCGATTTCACTCTTGACCCAACATGATTGATATGCCTTTGTTGTATGCATATTGGTTGAGCTATAGAAAAATACTAGTTTATATGTTAATTTAAAGTTGATAAAGGGTTGTATCGTGTTGGGTTCATATCATATCAAAATTTACTCTATTAATACATGATTTGTTTATAGGTTCTTGTTTATTCCATTTATATTATAGATATGACTGATCAATCTCTTTATAACTCAACTTCGTTAAAACTAAAGTAATACTATATAACTTTACATCGAAGCTGATTACGTTAAGAATGGTTAACCCCGTACATTATATGCCACAATAACGAAATACAATCCATCTAATCGACTTTAAATAGTTGAAACAAGACTTTCTACAGAGTTTAATTTAGTTAAGAATATCCGTACTGGATGTTGAATTAGAGCTCTAAACTTTCCATAATGATTCTTAAGTTGGATTAATCTATCCAACTGTAAAAGACATGTAAAACAAAGTGAAAAGTGGATAAGTTAGGAATCTACTTGTAATTCCATTCAAGTTGGAAAAAATTGACTACATGATTGGGATGTCATGTCGTACGCCTATTTGCAAAAGAAGCATTGTCTTTAGTAGGCGGAGGATTTAAATCTTGTTGTGAGGTTTACCTAATATTATACACATATATATATAAGTGTGTAATATGTGTGTGTGTGCTCGCACGTGTGTGTCTTGTATCTATACTAGAATATTGAAGAGAGGAAACCTAATCTACCAAGTACAAAGTGCTTGCAAAAGGTTATAAATTAATAAAGTATATGTACGATTGGGAGTCAAGCATATCAATAATCTCAATAGCCCTACCAAGATTTTTTGAATTACCCTTGTTGTATGGGTATGTTTCTTTAAACTTTGTAGTTGTCAAAGGGTTATTGGCTAAAAGTAAATCAACTAAATGTCAAAGGAGGGTGAGTGGTACCCCCAACAATTTTCTGTGATTTTTCTAGGCACATAAAAAAATAAGAGGTTCCATTGTGGACCAATTCCATTTCTTTACTCCCTAAAGGTCTATTTCATTTTTTTTTTTTTAAAGAATGGTCGTGGTAGTTAGGACTACTTTACATGCATTTCAATTAATTCTCTCCTTTAGTCGGTCTGGTTAAAAATAGACTATTCACACAAGGACCATGATATTTATAATGAATAAATCTCTTGTGACCTGATTCTAAAAAATTGTCAAGATTCAAATTTTATAGTGTCTGAGTTTCTTATTCGTCTCTGTTTCACTTAAACTACCTTTCAAATTTTAAAAACAACTTTTCAAAGTGCTCCAATTGTAATATTTAATGTTAGTTTGTGAAAGAATCTCTCATTTATGCATCCAACTAGTGGTCAAGAAGCAGCTTTACTACAGTTAGTTGATTATGAAGTTAACACAGTTGATTATGAATTTAAAAGAAGAGTTTAATACAAGAGCTTTTATCATTACAAGTTAAGAAAAAATACTCAGACGTACCTCGCGTGAAAAAAGCTTACTTTTATGATTAAGATATCCAAATAACAATAGAACAATCTTATCCAATTTAATAAGTTAATTATTGGATTAACCGTAAATTAGTTTTATAATTCGCTATTAATTCAATAAAATAAAATAAGGTTAATAAATTAAATTAAAAAATTAAATAATAATGATATTATTGTAAAAGGAAAAAGGTCTGTATACTTCTAATCCTCATGGTTAGCACTTGCCAATAAATTGACTCTTTTGTCTTATATATTTTCTGAAACATTCAAAAAAAAGGGGAAACTGATTAGACCGAAGAAGGAAAACTAACGGTTAATGCGCCATAGGGACCGGACCGTTAACTATTAGCTTATAGCCGGCGCCAATATTCTTCCTTCTCTCTCTCGACAGAGATATATATTCTTAGTATGTTCCACATATCTACTAGTTCTTGTCTTGTTTGTGCCTGAATCTGAACCTTTTGCACCAGTCTCTGCTGCTGGTAATTTCTTAGATGGAGTGTAATGGGTTTAATTCTCCTCGGTCCGATACCTTTCCGGCTGGGCTACGTGTTCTTGTGGTCGATGACGATCCAACATGGTTGAAAATCCTTGAAAAGATGCTTAAGAAGTGTTCATATGAAGGTTTGCTTTGCATACTAGCCAGCTTACCCTTTTACTTTTCACCTCAAACAATCCAGTTATGTTGGAAAAATGATATCTTTAGCTTTGTTTTTTTTTTGGGGGTGAGGGGGGTGAGGTTAACTGGTGTTACAAGAACTTGAGTTTTGCTATCTACTTATGGAATTTTATCACTATATGTTTCATTAATTGTGTCCTATATTGCAAGGCTTATGATTAATATGTACACAGTATGGAAATTTGTTTTTCTGGTGATATTTAGAATGAGATAACGTATAGCAGGTCATATATTGTTGGATTTAATGGTAAAACAATCATTTGTTGTCTTTGGGCATATATGTTTTTTGTATTGAAATTGAAGTTACTTCAAGTCTAGCCAAACAAATTAAGGAGAATGTCATCTGTAAAATCCGACTGTTTGATATTCATTATTATTTATCACAAATTAGCATTTGCACATAATATCGATGATATTACTATAATAAGAGGAGCTAGGACTGACTACACCTCTCTGGCTCCTTCTGCCGTTGGTGAGACTGTTAATTGGAACTACGTGTTCCTGAGGATTTTGTTGCTTAAGATTTTACAGCAGTTTGAGTGACCACCATGTAGGATTTTAGGAGTATACGATTTATAAGTAAAATTTTTAACTTCTCAGTTGTCTATCAGGCGCATTATACTGAGTTTTTGCTTTAATATATTTCTTCATCAGTCCAAACAAAGTGTGGTCATGAAAAGCATAAGTGTGCATTGCAAGTCGTACGCAAGGCATACGTATGAGTGACATAATGATAAATGACCTGGTATTTAGTTTCGGAACTTTGGCTATTAGCTTGACTTGAGTAGTCTGAAAAACATAGATGAAGTGCCTGTAGTGCCATGTATGTTTCTGATAACAAGGTTTTTATAATGTTACTCATTAACCAAGTGAAAACAAAGCATGAATGAACCATCTATTAATTCTCAGCTGCACTTATTCTATGATGCACATCTTCAGGAACCTGTATACTTGTTGGGTGTACAATAGCTAAGCTATTCAAAAATAACTCTCTCAGGTGGATGGTGTTGTCTCATTAGTTTTCTACATCTTTAGGGTCATACCTATCATCTCCGCGGATCAAACTAGTGGTTGACCCTTTTATGACTTTCCCATGATTACTTCTAGTTAAGGATGAACAAACATTTGTGTCAAAGATGAATTAGTGCTTGTTGTCAAATAATGCTGAAATTTTGTTCAGAAAATCAAGAACATGTTTGGTTCGAGTGAATGTCTAAAACTTCCCAGTTTGTAAATCCATTCAGGTGATATTCTGCTACAATCTTACAAAATGTTGCTTACAGGGTTGGCTAGGGGCATCAAACAAACCAAGTTAAGGGTTGGACTCAACTTGATAGGAGGCTCACTCATGGTTGGTTTGAGTGAATATTCAAAATATGGATCAGTGAGTTTAATATTTACACCCCTCAAGTAACTAGTCGAAGAAACCATTTTAGAAGAGATATTGACAGTAGTCAGAATTGAAGAAAATTAGGAGAGGCCATTTTGAAAGGTCGGTTCTTATAAACCGTTTTCATTGACTGTCTGTGTTTTTGAGAGCCGCTACTTGCACAACACTTCCATGGTCATCTCTTTTATTAATCCTTGTCACTCCTCTTTCTTACGATGTCCAAATCAAATCATCAGAGGCATTGGCATGGAAATGGTTGCTGTCGGAGAAGCAGAACGCCACTGCATCCTTATCTCTTAAGTTGTGTATTTTGCTTTCCCTAGTCCTCATAACATTGCCTTGTCTTTACCTGTTGAACGCTTTAAACTTGTATTTTTGCACTGTTATAACGAAAATGATGTCTCTACTTCCTTGACAATTCATTTTCATGTTATGTTGTGTTTATCAGTGACTACATGTGGTCTAGCAAGAGAGGCTCTGGACCTGCTTCGTGAAAGAAAAGATGGATTTGACATCGTAATCAGTGATGTTAACATGCCTGATATGGATGGTTTCAAGCTTCTGGAGAATATGGGACTTGAGATGGATCTTCCTGTCATTAGTCAGTTCTCTCTCGATAACATATGAAGCATTGTCATGAATGTTAATTTCTTGTTTACCGCATTTCAGTAAAATGAATGGTTCTATTTCTAACACTAACTAAATAAATTGTACAGTGATGTCTGTGGATGGAGAAACGAGCAGGGTGATGAAAGGTGTTCAACATGGAGCATGTGATTATCTTCTTAAGCCTATAAGAATGAAGGAACTTCGGAATATATGGCAGCATGTCTTTAGAAAGAGGGTACATGAGGTGAGAGATATTGAAAGTCATGATGGCTTTGAAGAAATTCAGATAATGAGAAATGTATCAGACCAGTATGATGACATATACTTGCATAATGGAGGTGATCTGACTTCAGGAAAGAAAAGAAAAGATGTCGAAAACAAGCTTGACAACAAAGACTTTGGTGATCCTTCTTCTCTGAAGAAAGCTAGAGTAGTTTGGACCGTAGATCTTCATCAGAAATTTGTCAAAGCTGTAAATCAGATTGGATTTGATAGTAAGTTTATCATTAGCTTTCCTCTTCAAAAGTTTGGCCTTTGCATGATTGTCATGAATTAAACATTTTACTTTGTCATTTTGTGGCGGTAACACTTGTTTGTAGTCCAAATAGTTGTAGATATGTTATAGCTGCCATCAATATCACGCTTAAAGCAAGCCATGGATTTTTATGTATGTTTGGCAGAAGTTGGCCCCAAGAAAATACTCGACTTGATGAATGTGCCATGGTTGACAAGAGAAAATGTTGCTAGCCACTTGCAGGTAACATGCATTCAACTATTTTGCTTTTGATATTGAAGCCTGGAAATAATGCTCAAGCAGGCTTTGTTAATAATCATTACATGTTAAGCTGATCAAATGCCAAGCAACAGTGGTGTCTGGGTCGTTTGGAAATCTAATTATAGTTGAGTTACGGGATAGAATAGGTACTAATATTTCCAAACGAAAAGACTACATTCAAATTTATACAATGTGCGCATATGCCAAAACGCACGATTCTTCTAGGATAATATTGTGATCGGTTGAAATCTTACAGAGATCTTTTCATTGTGCAGAAATACCGCCTCTACTTGTGTAGGTTACAGAAAGAAAATGATATAAAAGCTTCTTTTGGTGGGATAAAGCAGGCAGATCTCTCCCCGAAACATACTGCTGGAAAATTTGGCCTTCACAATTCAATCAATATACAGCAAGATGATGCTGCTAATGGCCACTTTGGAACTTCTGACAACAAAATTCCACCCCACAATATCGATCATAAAATCCATGAAGCTGAACTTAAGGGTATTGTTTCAATGTCAATGACAAAACCCAAGAAGGCCCAGATTGTTAATATTCCTGAACCTCAGAAGCTCAGCAGTTCAGGGACTGGCCTCAGTCACTCTTGGGGGTCACTGGAACCAGACCCTAAATATGCAGCATTTGATTCTACTCTCACTATGCAGTACTCTTGGCGCGATATTCAGTACCAAGAATATAAGCCTCATCTTCAGTTAGAGAATGGCTTCAGACATCTGCCACTGCCTGCTATACAGAATCACATCCAAGTTAATACCTTACGACCTGTTCCCTCAACTAATACCATACCATTCAACAAAGAGAGGGATAAACCTTCACCGATTGAAATCCAGCCTTCAGGTGCCAAATGCAGAAGCCAACAAATCAGGCAAGTAGCTCCAACAGGAAATGCATTTGACTTGCTTTCAGCTCAGTCTGAGAGCAGTATGACAAACTTTCACACATCTAGTCCACCTGCCAGTGCTACATTTAGCATGAAGAATCAGGGCATTGATCGGATTTCAGTAACTGATCTGGAATCTAACAAGGGAAACCTAATTCAGGAAATAGGGGAAGCATTTGCATGTATCGATGAGGACTTAACCGCTTCTTGCTTTCAAGGTGATTGTTGTTCTATAAATCTTGGATTCCAGAACATTGCTGAAGTTTCTCCCTACTTGTATGATGCACTGAAGTTTGACTACGAGAATCCCTGTGACTCGCTGGAATATCCTGTAATAATAGATCAAGGGTTATTCATAGCATGACCAGTTTAACTGGAAGGAGTTGCTCATTGGACAAGTAAAGAACAATGGTATCTCGATATTGTTGTTCCAGTCAAATGATATGTCAAGTAAACTATTTCAACATGGAGTGGAATATCTTCTTCCAACTCAAATTTGGATAAATATTTCGTAAATATTTGCCGTAGGAGTGATATCAAATATTGAGCACAATTAACAAGCTTCTACCGGTGAGTGATGCTTATGGTGAGTTGCATGTCTGTGTAGATTTGTACTAGTATTGGAGTTTGGGCTCCCATTTTGATCCTACAAATCTTGTAAATACAAATTCTAGTTGCAAAGTATAGTCCCAGAATTCATGTCTCATGTTGTGTCCTTATTCTGAGAGAATAAACATGTGACAGTGAGCAGCTGGTAGCCTTACAAAGATCTTGAAATATCCCATAACTTACTGGTGGTATTGCAAAGAAATTGCTAGTTTCCAATCTGCAGTTTTGCATAGATTTTTGAAGAAACTATTAATAGACCCAAACCCTTCCCAGATTCAGCACTGCCAGAAATCCTCTTTTCTTCTTGTCAATTACATGGGGGCATAGCTGAAGCTCATAACATAATCCACTTTACTTGCACCAAACAAAGTTACGGGCTTCTTCTTAACCATTCTCTAAAGGAGAAAAAACTGTTTACATATATCCAGAACAAGGACATAGAAGAAACAATTGAAATCATTGCTCTACTTTATGTTGAATGGCAGCCAACAGCTCAAATTCAAAACTTCCTATAAACATTTTCCCAAAGTACATCACATTGCTAACTCAATTTATTTCCATATCCATGATATCTACTGTCAAAGCCAGCTTCAAATAGTCCGCACTACAAGCAATTGATTCTCCAACAATTTCTGCCTGCATATACTTGGAATGCACCATCTCTAGTTGTCTACTTCATAATCAAAGCTGAATATTTGGGGAAGCATTCTCACGCATACTATTTCTAAATTGTGATTTGACAAAATGAGTTGGGATCTGGTTAGTCTTTTCTGCACCATGCTCGGAGCTATCAGCCTTCCCTGAAGACCTCCAAGGAGGTCTAGAACTAGAATCCTGGATTGTGCTGCGAGTTGGCCTCCTACTGAGTTTTCATGAGGAAGGACGTGTTGGTGGGATCTGCAAAATATCATAAAGTGGATTGACAACTGGGAGGAAAACACAATGATATTACACAACTTAAGATTTCACGAGTCAACTGCACCCACCATCATTAGTAGAAAGACAAGGTGTTTACTAGCAAAACAGAGAAAACAGAGAGATAGAAACATTTCCAATTTTGAATATGTTCATTGTGGCATTGAGATCTGATTTAAATACCATCATGTGATTATTTGGCAATTCCATTTTATGTTGAAAATTTGCAGTCAATTCAGATTTGAGGCCAACATTCTGCTGCATTTTCTTAAGGCCATTTTTTCCCTGCATAAAAAAGAGAACATGGTAAACTATTGATACTTTATTCTGACCAAATAAAACAATAATGCTGCAATTGTTGCGTGTTTGAAGAAACATATGAGCGACCCAACTTCATATCAACTCAAGCAATTCGTGGTTTTTAGTCATTTGATCCNCTGACCAAATAAAACAATAATGCTGCAATTGTTGCGTGTTTGAAGAAACATATGAGTGACCCAACGTCATATCAACTCAAGCAATTCGTGGTTTTTAGTCATTTGATCCATGTAGAACATAGAACTTAGTGACCATTTTTCTTGTTCACATTGCATCTGTTAGCATGTGGTACTCTTTTCCTTAATCATCCAACATTAGAGGTAATGAAAAAACCTTAGTTTTTGCTTGCAGCTGAAGTTTTTCTGCCTCCTTAGCATTCAGTTTCTCCTCTAGCTTCTGAAGAAACTGAACAAGCACATAAGCCAGCGAAGGGGATGGTCAATGTAAATATATAATAAGTAATACGACTGTAAGTATCAAGTTTATAGGATCTGGACTTGCCTCTTTACGTTTGGGTACTCTTTCCTCATTTCTAAAGCTAAAAGAGGAGGTTACAGTAGGAGATCGTGCTTTCCGCCCACATGCAGTCAAAGTTTCTGAATGGCTGCCCATACAGTTTTGAGGAGAAATTAGGAATTCTTTGTTTCATTTCGATGAATCAATGATACTATGGTTGCAAAGTTGGCCTCACAAAATTAAAGAGTATGAAATATGAAATTAATCATGCATATAAAATCTACAATAGATAAGGCAGTCTTTGGGACAGTAAAGGGAGCCACTTCATTTGAAAGGGATATGATTCTATCAATAAAATACATTTTATCTTTCTAAAACAAAAAAACTTACAACACTTCTTGATGCTCGCCCGCATGACATATGACATCCTAATTACCTCTAAACACAATTGAGAGCTATATAGTCCTCTATTAAAACTTTACAATTCACAGTCTAAATAAATTCAAACTATTTATAGCAATCAAGACAGCAAAAGATCTTACTTCATAGGTAAGGTATGTGATTTCCCACCCAGCATTCTGTTTCCAGAAATTGATCAAGAAGAGCTTTAGACCTACAAATCATAAAATTAAACATTTTTTTGAGAGGAGTTGAATGTACACAATGTCACACCAGTGTAAAGCATTCTTGTGAGTGTGTCAGATTTATATATTCTTCAGGACTATTACAGAGATAAATTACCTTCTACATTCTGCTAGATGGGTTACTGAAGGATGCTTTGATACCCCATTCACAGATGCCTGCATTTTAGAAAAGAAATTCATCTCATGCGTGAGCTAAAGATAGTTCAAACAAACCCCAATTTGGTTGTGTGCATGGGTGTGATAATGCTGGTAAGTTGATGGCAAGGAGGGTGGGAAGTAAGCACCCTGGTTGGAGTTTGTTGAGTTGAGCTGTCTTTGGATGTCTTATCAAAAGCTTTAACGATCCTTGAATTTCCAATATTGTGGATAAGAGGAGAAGATGTTTTATTGGTTTCATTAGCACGAGAAGCAAAATTGATTGACATGTGAAGTGATTTTGGAGTTGAACTCTTTTTTTCCATTGAGACTTTTGCGGTCATCATATTATTTGGAGTTGCATTGTCTGTCTTCCTGGGATCAACGAAAGTTTGCGGGTAAGTTGATGGCAAGGAGGGGGAAGTAAGCACCCTGGTTGGAGTTTGTTGAGTCGAGCCATATTTGGATGTCTTTATGAAAGCTTTAATGATCCTTGAATTTCCAACATTGTGAGGAATAGGAGAAGATGTTTTACTGCTTTCACTAGCACGAGAAGCAAAATTGATCGACTTTTGAAGTGATTTTGGAGTAAAACTCTTTTTGTCCATTGAGACTCTTGCCGTCTTCCTATTATTTGGAGTGGCATTGTCTGTCTTCCTGGAATTATCGAGAGTTTGCGGGTAAGATGATGGCAAGGAGGGGGAAGTAAGCACTCAGGTTAGAGTTTGTTGAGTTGAGCTGTCTTTGGATGTCTTTATGAAACCTTTAATGATCCTTGAATTTCCACTCTTGTGAGGAATAGGAGAAGATGTTTTGTTGGTTTTCACTAGCACAAGAAGCAAAATTGATTGTCATGTGAAGAGATTTTGGAGTTGAACTCTTTTTGTCCAATGATACTCTTGCTGTCTTCCTATTATTTGGAGTGGCATTGTCTGCCTTCCTGAGATTATCGAGAGTAGTCGGTTTGGCAGGAGGTCGAAGCTTGGTTGCTCCACTGCAAGTGGATGATTTGAAGGAAGAAATTTCAGGTTTCTTCTCTCTCAACATTTCTAGAGTCCCCTGATTAGCAGCATCCTGCAAAATCAACATTAGGTGAGAAAGTAATGCAAAAGATGCGATCAAGTGGATACAAGAAAACAGAGAAATATATCAACACATATACCTTGACATGTGTGTTGTTTTCTTGCATGGACACTATAGTACTGTGGTTTTCAACACTCTCAATCTGGTTGGAAAGTTCAACCTGAACAGTATTCGCCACAGTGCACAATTGTTCAGTTACAGATTCTGCACCTTCTGCTTTAGCGGTTTCTATATTGTTTCCCTCAGCATTACACCCAATTGCTTCAACAGATAATACAAGCTTTACATTATGAGCATTTTCTCCTTCTGTTTCCTCAATGCGCACATGGCTGTCTGCTTGCACCAACTCTGGATTCATGGAAGAATTATCACATATCTCATTCGTCAAATTTGGTTCAGATGAATCATTTGCAGCTACATTTCCTTGCTCGAGCAACACTGAAGCTTTCTTGGCTGCTTTTCTCCTGTAATGGGCTTCGAAATAAGCTTTTTTCTCAGCAACAGAACCAGGCTTGGAGTATTTCTCAACTTCTTCCAGGTACTGGTTGTGAGTGAAGGATGACCATTTTTCCCAAGCCAACGATTGTGACACGAACCTCCCAAATGAGATTGATGTTGTGAGGGCACGCAGTGGATCTCCCTGTAGCACAAATCTTTTACTGTTATCTTGGCAAAATCTTCAAATTACTAAACTAATACATATACATCCAAGGACCTACTTTAATAGAATTGCAGTCGTTTCCAAATTTCTAACACTGTCTATTTCACAAATTCATATCTAAAAACAACCCTAAAGTAGAAATGGAAGATGAAAGCCTAACGATTGTGTAATCCATATGAGTGAATTGACAGAGACCCAGTACGAGAAATCCTCAGTTATGTTACTTGAATGCAGTGTCAAGAGAAATCAATCAATGAGGGCTATGTATTTCTATGCAAGAGGAAAATCAGAAGTTGCAATGTAAATACCGTATTCAGAAGTTCAAAAAACACAAGATATCAAAGGAAACCCATGTCTGTTTCTTTGGGATAATAAAACCCTCTTCCGGAATACCGGTAAAGAGGCGAAACAATGCAGATAAATCAAAAAGCGTCAAGGGTTGTTTGAAAACTGAAGAACCCATATCAAGATTGGTAAATAAAGATGAGAAATTTACAACAAGTGTTCTTGAACTAACCTCTTTGAATTCATCAGAAGTGGGAGAAAGCTGAGAGATTGACCGCACTAGACAAGGAGATGATTCACCCATGTCTTGGTAGTCCAGAGAGAGAAGAAAATCCCACAGAAACACTACTTTGAGTATCCTCTCTCTCCTTTCCGTCTTAGTTGATACTCTCGTATATTCCTTGCCAGTTCTTGTACCTTGAAATCCCTGAGAACTTTGCTCTTCTTGAACTCATTTTGAATTTGAAATCCGGACCCATGTGTCCATCTTAGATACCAGAGAGCCCAAGTCTGCAGGAAAAAACCCTCTGAATTGATCGGCAGTTTATGTTAATGTTGTTTCTCACTATCATTCCGTGTCTGGTCCTAAATCAAGGATTTAAATCCCTGCATTAACTCTTCATTTCAATTTTTCTCAATGGTAGTGGCGATGGTTGACGAGTGATATGTATAAAATTTTAAATTTTAATGGTGGGGTGTCAATTATTATTAAGAAATTTTTTTTACAAGAAATTTTTTTTTTCATTAAAATTCAAAATTTTATGTATGTCACAAATCTAGTATCAAAAGGAATTGAAGAGAAGCGGCAATAGAGATCCCTAAATCAAGGTCCATGAGACATGAGGTAACTAACATTAGGGTTAATTTTAAGGATAATTCAAGTGATAATAATTTAGATGTCATTAAATTTAAATTTTGACAATTTTTTAGGATAAGTTATGATAGATTTATTCTTATAAATACTCTAGTCCTGGTGTAAATGATTTATCTTTAACCAACTTAAAAAAGGGATTAGAGTAAACCGACCCAACACTTCTCATCATTGAATTGAAAAAATCTAACATTATGGCTCTTTGATCGAACCTATTTTCTTTATTTCATTAGTCAATTTGGTTGTTAGTTTGAATTTGAAAAGGAGGTTAGGCCCACTGATANCAGATAAATCAAAAAGCGTCAAGGGTTGTTTGAAAACTGAAGAACCCATATCAAGATTGGTAAATAAAGATGAGAAATTTACAACAAGTGTTCTTGAACTAACCTCTTTGAATTCATCAGAAGTGGGAGAAAGCTGAGAGACTGACCGCACTAGACAAGGAGATGATTCACCCATGTCTTGGTAGTCCAGAGAGAGAAGAAAATCCCACAGAATCACTACTTTGAGTATCCTCTCTCTCCTTTCCGTCTTAGTTGATACTCTCGTATATTCCTTGCCAGTTCTTGTGCNTAAAAAAATTCTGTACATAAATAACTCTAAAAGTATTACTACAAAACTTCTATTTCGAATATATCCTCAAATAGTGTCAAATCATAGACAATTCTTTGTTATTCTCCTTTTTAATAGATCTTTGAAAATTATAAACTTCGAAGGTTTTATTTTATAGTTGATTATATGTCTTTTGAGTTTTGTTGAAAATTTCATTCTTTNTTAGTTAAATCGAACTTGAACATATGAGTTAACTAAAATATACTCGACTAAAAAAATTCTGTACATAAATAACTCTAAAAGTATTACTACAAAACTTCTATTTCGAATATATCGTCAAATAGTGTCAAATCATAGACAATTCTTTGTTATTCTCCTTTTTAATAGATCTTTGAAAAATATAAACTTCGAAGGTTTTATTTTATAGTTGATTATATGTCTTTTGAGTTTTGTTGAAAATTTCATTCTCTNATTTTAAGGATAATTCAAGTGATAATAATTTAGATGTCATTAAATTTAAATTTTGATAATTTTTTAGGATAAGTTATGATAGATTTATTCTTATAAATACTCTAGTCCTGGTGTAAATGATTTATCTTTAACCAAATTAAAAAAGGGATTAGAGTAAACCGACCCAACACTTCTCATCATTGAATTGAAAAAATCTAACATTATGGCTCTTTGATCGAACCTATTTTCTTTATTTCATTAGTCAATTTGGTTGTTAGTTTGAATTTGAAAAGGAGGTCAGGCCCACTGATAAGACCACTTGTGGACAATACAACGGCTATTATCTCCAACTTATGTTATTTCAAGGAAACACAGTTCATTGCATATTGTAGGGACAAAGTTGCTCGAATTCGGTTTGATTTTGATTCGTTTATGATTTTTAACAAGAAGTGGAATGGATCAAAATTTTAAGTTTATTATTTAGTTAAATCGAACTTGAACATATGAGTTAACTAAAATATACTCGACTAAAAAAATTCTGTACATAAATAACTCTAAAAGTATTACTACAAAACTTCTATTTCGAATATATCGTCAAATAGTGTCAAATCATAGACAATTCTTTGTTATTCTCCTTTTTAATAGATCTTTGAAAAATATAAACTTCGAAGGTTTTATTTTATAGTTGATTATATGTCTTTTGAGTTTTGTTGAAAATTTCATTCTCTTTGGATAGTTATAGGGTTAAATTTCTTAAAATTTTGGTTGAGAAATTGAGCTCAACCCCAAATCGAGTCAACTCAAATGCTTGTAAACTCGTGACAAACTAAACTTGAATCTAAACTTGAACTCAAGTCAACCCATACTCAATCAATCATAATTGAACCGAACTTAAACATACTCAAACTCTTAACAAATTCAACTTGATTAACTCTCTTTCATGTTGGAAAATAAAATAGGGAGAGGATGTGGCTTTATATTAGAATTTTTTTTAGGTCAAATTATTATTTCATAATACTATTAGGACTTAATAAAATGATGGTAGACGATCTNCTCAAATGCTTGTAAACTCGTGACAAACTAAACTTGAATCTAAACTTGAACTCAAGTCAACCCATACTCAATCAATCATAATTGAACCGAACTTAAACATACTCAAACTCTTAACAAATTCAACTTGATTAACTCTCTTTCATGTTGGACAATAAAATAGGGAGAGGATGTGGCTTTATATTAGATTTTTTTTTAGGTCAAATTATTATTTCATAATACTATTGGGACTTAATAAAATGATGGTAGACGATATAATTTACTATAGCCAGATAAATTATCAGTAAAGTTTGTAGTGACTCAAAATATCTATGTATAATTGGACTATTTAATAGAAACATGTGGCATGAGATATGATGATGTTCTTCACACAATTGAAAAATGTTGTGGATTTAAAGTGCATTGAATGGTGGGATTTGGTTTAATCTGAGCTCCAAGACTCTTGAGAATAGGATTTTTTGAATAATTTGGGGGGGGGGGAGGGGTTATACAGAATATTTATAGTGGTTCACCAACTCGAGAGCTCGGTTAATCCACTATTAAGAGAATCCCTTACTCCTGAATATATATTACTCAATTGCGTGTGGTTTACAGAGAAGACTTTGCAAGGCTACAATGACTAAATCCTTTCTTGAGGGCTTTGCCTCTTATTTATAGATATTCCTAGGGTTTGCTTGATCTGGGGCGAGATACTCGCCCCTTAGCTGTAACAGTTCTCCCTTATTGCGCAATGAGACTTGCGCTAGTTGGGTGATTGACGCCAGAAAGATGGGGGACTTGGTGGGATCCAACTGTCCTTTGAACAAACTTCCGTGAGGTATGGATACAGGGAATTGAGGTCTGAGGTTGAGGTCCACAAGTGATACTGATCAGTTGAGCTCCCGATTTGATGACCTGGGGAGCTGAGCTCATTCTTAGATATTTTGGTGGTATCATCAGTTACCTCCTAGCCCCTAGTCAAACAAGTCGATTTGGGTAGGGATTATGCCAAGAGTAAGGTTGCCTGGGTCGACCTCAATTTTTGCATGATGGGACTTCCTTCTAACGGTTGTGACGGTCGTGTAATCATGCTTCCCTCATTTCTTGTGCACGTCCCTTATTTCGAGGATCCACATTCTTCTGTCTTTAAATGCAATTGCAGATAAAAATCGTCTTTTGCTTCTTCAGACCCTTTTCACATTCTGTTTCCTGCCTATGCTTTTCTCTCTGTGACTTTGTCTTTCTAATTTTTTCGAGGATCTAGGGTTTTCAGAAAAATCCTCCATTTCTTCGAAGGCTTTGTGTAGTTGACCTAATCCGTTCAGATTTTCCCTTGGTTCTTGGTTTATCGATCGTTCTCAACTAGGTACGTCATTTGCTTTGTTTCTTCTTCTTTTCTTTTGTTCTGGATCCCTCAAATTTAAGGTAGTTATTTAATTTCTGGACTTTTCGCTTTTGTTACTTTAGAAATCGAGGTCTTACCTTGTTCTTTCTTCCTCTCTTCTTGGATCCTTATTCTACTGCCAGAGTTTTCTCTTTGGTCGTTGGTGTCTTGACCCTTGGGCTCTTAAGGATTTCTCCCTCTTTATAGTTCTTTTAGACTTCATTTCTCCTGCCCAATTATATCTGCCTTTTCCGAAGCTACAGCCTCCTCTGTTTCCCTTATGGGCAATAGGTCTCTAGATATAGAGGAGGATGAGCTGGGGGATGTTGGTGACGAAATTGACAACTTTCCCAGGGTTGAAGCCGTAGAGGGGGCAGAGGTACCTCAGATTTTACCAGAGTCTCCTTCGAGTTCCAAGCGATTTCGAAAAGGAAAGGCCAAAAAGGGTTCATGTAGCATTGAGGTCTCCGAGCCCGCTCTTTGCACTTCAGACCTCATTGGTCCTAGTGAGGTTACGCCTTCTCTCATGAGTGTTTTGTTTGCAAGGTTTGGTTTTCCTAAAGGCATGCGTTACTGGATCCCTTTTGTGGATATTAGGTATGACTCTGAGGTCCTTGAGAAGACCTGTGTTTTCGTAGTTTCTCTTGAGAATGGGCTTAGGTTCCCTATACATCCCTTCATCAAATCTGTTCTTCTACATTTCAATGTCTGTCCTACTCAAATCTCTCCCAATTTTTGGGGTGTCCTGGTGGGCCTCCTCGTCTTCTTTAAGAAAAATAAAATTGGTACCCCTTTAGTNTTCTCTTGAGAATGGGCTTAGGTTCCCTATACATCCCTTCATCAAATCTGTTCTTCAACATTTCAATGTCTGTCCTACTCAGATCTCTCCCAATTTTTGGGGTGTCCTGGTGGGCCTCCTCGTCTTCTTTAAGAAAAATAAAATTGGTACCCCTTTAATTCCCTTGCTCACGAAATTTTTCAACGTCAAGTTCTATCCTGATGGCTTTTTGTATATTTCCAAGTGGGTGAAGATCCCAACATTGATTACTAGACTTGCCCAACACTCATAAGAACTAGAAGAAACAATTATTCTTAGTGTTAGAGGAGTGGGAGTTCAATCTGAGTGATGCCAATGATACTCTTCCTGTCCCACGCTCTTGGTTAGGTCCTGATAACCTAGGTGAGTCCGTATTTTGGGCAAGCTGAACTTGCCTCATCTTATTTTTTTATTCGCTGACCTCATTCCCTTGAGTTGTTTCAGGTATCCGCCCTGAGCTAGGAACCAAGGACAGGATTGTTTTGATAGGGCTCAGNGAGTGATGCCAATGATACTCTTCCTGTCCCACGCTCTTGGTTAGGTCCTGATAACCTAGGTGAGTCCGTATTTTGGGCAAGCTGAACTTGCCTCATCTTATTGTTTCATTCGCTGACCTCATTCCCTTGAGTTGCTTCAGGTATCCGCCCTGAGCTAGGAACCAAGGACAGGATTGTTTTGATAGGGCTCGGAGAAGTATTCTAGCCTGATCAAGCATTCTGTGCATACCAAGTTAGGGTTTAGCCCTCCCGAGGTGACTGTAGAGACTCATTCCTATTTCTGTTGTTGGTGTAGAAGAAGTGGCAAGTAACACTTCCTTTCTTCTATCCTTAACTTCTATTTTACTTTTTCCTTATTTTTGATCTGTTTGCTTTAGATTTCTAGGTTCTAACTCAATGGGTCTAGGTTCAGAAGCTTTGAGAGCGAGGGTTAAGCTGCTAAAAAAAGGCAAGAATGGAAAAAAATGNAGAGACTCATTCCTATTTCTGTTGTTGGTGTAGAAGAAGTGGCAAGTAACACTTCCCTTCTTCTATCCTTAATTTCTATTTTACTTTTTCCTTATTTTTGATCTGTTTGCTTTAGATTTCTAGGTTCTAACTCAATGGGTCTAGGTTCAAAAGCTTTGAGAGCGAGGGTTAACCTGCTAAAAAAAGGCAAGAATGGAAAAAAATGCAAGTTAGAGGTCGGATCAGGAAGCGACTCGGCTTCTCTCACCAAGGTGCAGAGAAC